AATTGTAAATACCTTTTTATAATCGTAAGTACCTTTTTGATATATTTGTTTTATTTTATAAATATGAAAGTTTATTAGTTTTTTTTAGATATTTTTTATTATTTCATCATATTAACCAGTTTTATAAATCATAATGATGTATATAACAGGTTTTAGAAAATCCAATAAATTATTAACATGTTTTAAAATATCTAAGGATTTATTTGTTTTAAAAAATTATCCAATAACTTAATTATTCTAAATACTAGAGTTTGTTAGTTTTTTTAGAATTTTCGGTTTAAAAAACGTTTACAATTAAAAGCCATAAACCGTTAATTGAAGATAGTCAGTGGGAAAGTGTACCTATCGTTTACCTGGAAAAAAGATCCTGCATGTCTCTTTTGATTCCATTTGTAGTCGCCATGGAATTGCTTCGTCAGCAAGTTCTCAGAAATCAGAAATCTTCCACGTTGCCAACATGCCTGTAAAAAAGATTCTCCATATCTCTTTTGATTCCATTTGTTGTCGCCATGGGAATGCTCCTTAAGCAAGTTCTCAGAAATACTCCACGTTGCCGACGTGGAAATAACGATTCAAGGCTGCGAGTGTATATATATATTCTGAAAATGGATTTTTGTGTGTTGACCGTTAACAAGTAAAGTTTCTTCAGCTGAAATTTCAAGGTTAGTTGAATCTCTTCGATGAATGATGAATGCTTCTTCACAATTGATACACTAATCTTTGATTGTATATGGACTAATCGATCATTTACACACAGTATTGCTTCTAATTACCAGTTGAGGGTCGGCTGGATTTTGAAACCAATCATTTACTTGCTGTATCTCAAATCCATTGATAAAGTTGTCGATTGCTTCTAAATTGAAGTTCGGCTGGATTTTGAAACCAATCATTTACTCGCCGTATCTCAAATCCATTGATAAAGTTGCGATTGCATCTATTCATCAATTGAAGCTCGGTTGAATTTCGTAATAGGTCAGTTTGCTTCTTTTTTTCTCTTTCTATTTTAATAGTCGTAGAGTCTGAAATTAAAGGAGGAACTACAATCGGTCTATCAAACAACAACAGAGCTAGTTTCAAAAGTATCCATAGCCAGTTTGCTCCATACAAGGTAAGAGCTGTTGAATTATAACCGGATTTCTTCTACAATCGTGTGAATCACTTTCCAAATTCGATATTTCGACCGTATATGCCTGGTATCACGAAATCCGAATTGGGATAATTGTAAAAGCAACAATCTTGATTTTGGCAGAAATCAAGATCAAAACTAGAGCAAAAATATAGAGTGTCTTCAAAGTTCGTGTGTATCCCCAAACTGATCATCCGAAATTAAAACTCAAAACTGTGAAAACGGGAGTTACCAAGTTATAGGATTCACAATCATACCACAGAAAAATCAAGAATTTTCCATTATAAACCCTATATAGGACCCCGCCCGCTGACCGGGCAGCGGGACCCCCGTTTTGCGTTCAGGGGGCGTTGCCCCCTAAATATTACCGGGACCGACTTAGACTAATACAAGCGTGCACTCCCACACTCTCCATACTTGTTTTAGAACAAAGTTCAATCCCTTTGAAACACACGTATAAAATCCATTACACTAAATGTAACCGGTGACACTAAAATCACCAACAATCCTCCCCATTTTAGTGTAACCATGAAATTATACAAAACAAACCAAAACACACTAAAAACTTGTACATAAATGAAAATGTCTATTCGATTGAATTTCCATATTAGTATTTTACACATTTCAAATATTCGAGAATCAGGGTGTCCTAAGGATTGAACCCGTCAACCCATTTGAATACATGAAGATAAAATACATACAAGTTTTCAATTCTCATCTAGTTAAAMTATCTTGACACAATTATTAAGCCGTGTGTCCTAATCCTCTCATGATTGTATAAAGGCCAAGTCCACAACCTTTTGAAGCGCGGCTACACTTCACAATCAC